AAGGTAATTTAAAGGTAAGCTTTTCACTGGGGCAGTACCCTCACAGGGACATTTTTGTACCCTCTTATCCCCTTAATGGGTTCATTATAATAACAAAAACTACATATGAATTCCTTAAGGGTACATATTGCCACTCCAAGATACTGGATATGCAATCTTTAGAGGTAAAGAAGGTACAAGGTATCCCTTTTAGGGGTAATGCCCCAGTGTTTTGATTAATGCCAATATCAATGCTAATTCAATATAGGGTATAGGAATACCAACAAATACCAACACCCCGTGCATGCACTCTTGTGTCCTCGTGGGTCCAGCAAGGGAGCACGGAGGGATTCCCTCACCGCCAGAGATGCGAGCTGCCGGACCCGCGGTCCGGAATGGAGACGCACCCGTGACGACGCCGACGGGACGGGCTAGGATGCCGAGCCGTTAATCCCCTGAAGCGCCGTGGGCCAGGGAAGATGAACCGCTGTGAAGAAGCCGCCGCCCCTCTCGCCCTGGACCACTGTGAGGAGCGCGTGCGGCCGCCAGACTTCGCCCCTTACTTGAACCCCTCCTTTCCGAACACTGCCCTTCCTTCGCGATTTCCCCACACAACGAGGACACCAGATCCCCCATTTATTTTGTACACTCCTTCCCCTTTGGACACTTTATTCCCCATTTTGGACATTTTATGTTTATTAAATAAAGCCTCTCAGAGGCTGGACGCCATACCCAGTGTGTCTGTCGTTTGCTCCTCCTGCCACACATGTAACAAGGATACTGTAAAGTGTTACCATACTTTTTAAAATATAAAGTTTCATTAACCAATTATTTTAAATATATATATTATTAATGAGCATATATAAAACAGTGATTAAATTAGGCTACCATCAAAGCTCTTTTATCTTAAGCAGAAAATAGTACAAGAATGTAGGGTTGTAATTTGCTTTATTATTCATGGGATTTAGCAAAACCTTTCCTTCTAAAATGTCATGCCCTTTGGGACTCATAAGTACGGCCCAAAAATATATAAATAAACAAACACCTGAATATTATCACAATGCTGTGTTCTTAGCAGCTACACCACTTTTACCTACTTACATGTGGCTTAAAGGTGACATGTTACATGTACCATCTATAATAACAGTGGATTATGCATAATTCCAAGCAACCCTGGTACATGAAGAACATGTAGTTAATTAATATGACTCAGCACTTATTTGTGTAGGTTAATTACGTTGTAATAACGTCACCTTAAAATACAATGTTTCCTTACATTTTCATTTTACAACAAAAGTAACAACAAAAACTTCAAAATTAAATGCTGTCTTGGTTACAAATCAGGAAACTACACAGCAGTTGCCCATTCTAACAATACATCCACTTCTGCATTGCTTCAATTCTGTTAAATAGCCTGATCTCATATTCCTTTCATTTTATTCAGTAGAGAAACTGCATAATATTCTCCATCTTATAATTAAATATATAGAGAGGAGAGTGCTGTATATCTGTTAATACCTCTCCATATCAGGACTGTCAAGGCTATATTTCACGCTTCAGCAAATCCATCCAAGACCTTGCATTTGACAGCATTCATTTCAAGCACAGAAAAACTGCACTGCAGTCTTTCATACTTTTACAAAAAAGGAGAGAATGACAGTCAGGCTAATAAATGACTAAAAATACTGAGAAAGTTTATAAATAAAAAGGGAGGCCCTGAGGCGTTTTGATCAGAACATTGATCAGAGGCTTCATCTGTTGACAAAGAATAGTTCATATTTGACGAAGATGAATGTAACATGTGACCACAAAACAAGAGCAACTATGAACGATTTACAAGTAAAATGCTGACCTTGTTACATAGAGAAAAATGAGATTCAAAGAATCCCTAAAGTGAATGAATAAAGGCCATGATAAAATATGCACACACACACACACACACACACACACACACACAGATACACAGAGTTCAACGTATTTTGGTGAGAGGACACATTTATCTTCCATCCTGAGAGCCAAAGGCACTACAGCTTCAGATTCTGACTCAGGATACATATTAAATTGGGGGGATTATTCAGATTCAACATCATCACCCTCATATTCATTCCTACAAATGAAGAAAGCTCCCACAAGCAGGGATAGTCCACCCAAAAATCAAAATTCTGTCATTCCAAACCTGTATGACTTTCTTTCATCTGTCAATCACAAAAGGATTGCAATGAATAAGGACTAACAATGTGTCTACACTGGACGTGTCTGTTGTCATGTCGCACCGCAACAGCTTGAGGCTGTCTACACTGGACACAACAAAACAACCTTTGAAAATCCATTTGTGCTTCATGTCAGAAGTAGCGTGAACGCTTGGAGTACATCAGAAATATATCAAACAATCAGTTTACTTTCGGGAATTTTATCGCACCATGCTGCATCCATCGTAGACAGCATCACTAATATTATTGGGTTCTATTGTCTTTGACACATTGCTGAAACTGAAAACCCTTTTAAAACCATCCATCAGACCTGTTTGACCAGGCTGGGAGACTAGATAAAACCAGCAAACCAGCCTAAGATGTTTTAGCATCAGAAAAGCATGATCAAAGTATCAAAAAAATTGGTCCACATGACTCATGCGCTGTATTTCAACTCTCCCAAGTTTTCATACACCCCTTGTGTTCATTTATTAAACACTTTGACTAATCTGATAATGCCTTTATCTACCAGTAAGTGTGTAGTTAGTCCCCTAAGTTTAATTTAAAACGTTTTTGCTATAATTCTACAGATTTACTTATAAAAAATCAGTGCAGAAAAAAAATAAATCCATGTGGACCTAGATATGAAACAGAGGAGCCTGAGTGACGAGGCAAACAGACAGTCACAAAGAACGCTTTTAATGATCGAGAAGAAAGTAGGACAACTTGTTTAATAGAAATGTTATGGTTTATAAGTATTTTGACTTTAAAGTCATCAAGTTGCTTTGCGTTCTCAAAAAGGAGAGACAAAAAAGGGCAGAGTAGGAGATATAGATTGAAAAAAGTGAAGAGAGTGAGAATTAGTTTGAGAGGACCAAAGCGATCTGTGAGATGCCTTATTCATCCTGTCCTCCTTCCTCTCTTCAGAACTCCAGGTTATGTTTGTCACATCTTAAACCTGTGTAGAGAGCTGATCAAAGACACAAGTCCCCTCAGAGCCCATCACAACCGCACTGTACGTGAAGAATAGAAGAGAACTGCAGAAAAACGGCAATAACCTTGTAAAAGAAATAGTTGGTTTAATCATTGATATTTTGACATTGGACAGTTTGGACATTTTCTGCTTTTGCATAAAATATCTGTTTAGTTCATACAACATTGCAGAGGAATGGTTACAAGACATGGTGAATACCGATGTGCTGATGGACAGGGGGTGGGGGACACTTCAAGAGGACGTTGGCATCAAAACAAATCAAATGTAAATTCATGTTCCAGGTCTGTTTGATGTTCCCCCAGTTTTCACGTTGAAGGCACAACAGTACACATTACAAGCAACCAAAACTATGTATTTACATTACAATTTATGGTAAATGAACAATTTTAATTAAAACTTCAAAACTAATAACTAAATTAATACCAAAAAAAAATGTATGTGCATATTTCATGTACATGTTCGAAAGTTTGAAACATTTTTGAAAGAAGTCTCTTATGCTTACCAAGGCTGCATTTGTTTAGTTAAAAATACAGTAAAAACTGTAACATTGTGAAATAATTTTCACAATTTTAAAATGTAATTTATTCCTGTGATTGCAAAGCTGAATTTTCCCTTTTTTTTCTTTCATTTTAATATGCTGTTTTGGTGCTCACAAAACACTTCTTGTTATTATAAATTTTGAAAACAGTTGTACTGTTTAATATTTTTGTGGAAACCGTGGAATTCTTTGATGTCTTTACTATCACTTTTGATCATTTGTTTTTAATTATAATTTTAATCTGCATTAAATACTTCTTTTGCAGAATAAAATAATAATAATAGTAATAAAAATTACTGAGCCCAAACTTTTGAATGGAAGTATCTTTTATAGTCACCTTTTTCTCTCTAAACACATAAAAAAAAAAACATTAATCAAATTTTAATTTAACCAAGAATTAGTCATGAAAAAACCCTTACAACCCATAATCTAGTCTCTGCTGGTGGGATGGTTGAAACATCCAGAATACACTGTTCAAATTAACATTATTAACGGTGAGATGTTACTGCTGCAGAACCAGCTGACACAGTTAGAAAATAATGATACACAACCTGAACCTCAAATCATTGTAGCGTCTGGACCAATCAAACACACAATTTTTCATTTGATTTAACAAATCAGTTATTCATTAGATTAACAAATCGTCACAGTCCCCTCACCCAATAAACTGGGTGTCAGGATGTCTGCAACGACACCAGGCCCCCCGTGGTCCCCATGGCAACCACGACACCTTTGCTAGACCAGATACATTTAGCGTCCCTAATCATGCAGATTTATGCTGCAGGCTCTGTGTAGAGTTGTACAGTAAGAAAGTTATTTCCCTTAACCAGGAAATTAACGTTCTTAGAATTGACAGACAGTTGACCCTGAGAGATCAAGTAAATATCTACAGCGGATCTAAATATTTATAATTAATTATAACTAGTTATGATTAATTATTCATATTTCCCCATGAGCTGATTCGCTACATCATGATAGAGATGGCTGGCCAATGAGAATATTTCTTACCCTTTTTTGCATGTTCTATTTCACTCTCAATTAGATATAAATGCAAACAAAAGTATTTTACTGTGTAGATTTTTCAGTAAAAGTCAGTGATCTAAGCTCTTCAGTAACATCCTGTCTCCTCCCCTTTCACAATATAACCAGCCGCTGGATGGAAAATATGCCCCCCACCTCAATTTCTCTCTCTTTCTTTCTCTCTCTCTGATATGCTGAGAACAGAAGGGAGGAGTTTTAATTTGAATCCTGAACTGTTGCCCTTCACAAAGCTCAGAGACAGCACTCTGAGTGGATCGCTGTGGATTAAAACACCTGTCTGTGGGTTCACTCTTTCCTCAGGAAAGGATTTTTATGGCAAATTACTGTAAATAGTTGTTTACGGAAGTGAAAAGGAAACTGAAAAGAAAGTTTTACTACTGATGAGCACGGAGAACAAGTGTTGAACAGTGATTGGAAACCTAAAATGAGATGCATATCTGGAAAGGACCAGGGCAAGACAGCAAATGTCCAAGTATTTATTTTCTCTCTCAAAGGACAAAGGTAATGTTGTTGTAATTGAAAAAACTTTTTTTCCCAAAACTGTTAAAGTGCTTAAACAGTATTATATTTTGGTAAAATGCATGTTTTTATTAATTGAACAAAATATATAAAAAATAAAACATGCATATTCAATATTCATTATAAATACAAATAACACATTTTAAATAGTTTTTTAAAAAATAGAATATTTTTAAATCCATAAAAAATAAATCTTTCAAACCTTTTTTTGACCATAGCTGTAATTGTATGAAAGTCATTCGGCGCTTTCTAGAATTCTTCTTTTAACATTTATGCTTAGGTATCTTCATTCTCAAAGTGAGGTAAATCATTGGGCGCAGTGTGTCAGGTGAAACATGGCTGGAAATAGTTTTTTACTACATCTTCTGCTCACTGCCATTGTGGGACGGGCTGCTAAAGCACAGGACGAGACTTCAATTGATATGGACATCCAAACAGCCAATCAGACTATAGATCCTTTGTTGATTTCTGTGACATCAGATGGGCCTCCAACTTTGACCCCACCTGCAGAGGTGGAGGAGGATACTGTGCCGTCCACTGGCACCCGCTGCCAGGGTTACTATGATGTCATGGGTCAGTGGGACCCTCCCTTTAATTGTAATGCAGGTATCTTCTTGTACTGTTGCGGCACCTGTTTCTACCGGTTCTGCTGTCAGTTCCGTCAGCAGCGACTGGATCAGACCTCCTGCTCCAACTATGATACTCCAATTTGGGCCAACACTGGAAAACCTGTGGCCACCAACACTGAGGTGCAGCCAGACCATGAGCGGGATCGGACTCACATGATTGTGTACATCATATGTGGTGTGGTGGCCATCATGGTCCTGGTGGGAATCTTCACCAAACTGGGGCTGGAGAAGAGCCGTGGAGGCCAGAACGACCTCAGTAACTCCAGGTGAGTAGAAATGAGCTCAAATCTATTGAGCTGCCAAAATGGAAAACTAAAATGGAACTTCATAAAACTTCATAGCCAGCAAATAGTGCTCCACACATGAAACGCACAATACTATAAAAATATGAAACACTCATAAATATTAGGTAAAATAGTCGTTTAATACTTTTTATTTATTCATAATTTGATATTTCACTTTGCTCGACCACCATCTTGGACATTTTCACAATACATTCCCTTGTCAAAAGGAATTACACTTTAGCATACTTTTTAAAAAAGTACTTATTATGGAAATATATTTTAAAAGTATATACGTGCAAACTCAATGTAATGTTTTTGGACATTTAACTGCATGTTATTTAGAATTCAACAAAAATGTTTTATAGCTTGAATTTATATTAAATGCTATTAGTTGATAGTATTTTTGAACCACTTAAGTAGGACTTAAGAACATCTTTATATAAAGTCATAATTAACCTGAAATATCACTGAAGTGGCAAGCATTTGAAGTGACTGACAAGCATTTATGGTAAACTATACTTTAAAATATACTTTAATCATTTGTGTTGAAACATTTATGTCATGTATTTAAATGTATTTGTAATTACACACTTGTAATGATTAAGCATTTAAACTAAATGTACTAAATTTTAACAAAATGTAACATCAAATAACACACTACAGTTAAAAACATCAAGTAAAAAGTATACTTTAAGTGTTTTAGCATGTTATGCTATAATTACCGTAATTACCATAGGCTCGAGATTACAATACGTGACTTTCTATTTGGAGCTGTTCACGTCCTTGTACTGGGAATTATGCGTTCTAAATATTCAAAATCCCTTTCTGAATATCAAAATACCTGTCATGAGCAATATAACAAAATACAGAGAATGTATAATTCTCCCAGCGTTCTGCCGTAACCCCATTTTAGACAAGAAATGACCCAATAATGCAAACAGCCCTATCGAGATGAACAAATTTGGAGGACGAAAATACTCATCCGAAGATTAGCACTTTTCCGAGGTTAACACCTCTCCAAAAGCATTTCCCACACGCTGAACACTGCACACCAGATTAACTCTGTTTACAAGATTAAGAGTTCTGCAAAGATGAACACTCTGCTTTAAGATTAAACCGACTCTTTTTGAGGCGACTGCTAGACTTCGCAGCTCTAGAGAACTAGTTTATGCACTTCCATTCACACCATTAAAAAGAAAACATTTTGCCCAGATGTCGAATTGATATTGAATTGGGCTCCTAAATAATTTCCCACTTCCACTTCCAGTCATGTCTTAATATTTAAATGCTACACCAGTGTATCATATCCCTCAGAACTCTCCAACTTAAGCCAAACAGGGAAGAGGAAAGCAGGTTTTATCTGTCAAGCTGAACTTAAACACTCCATCTTTGTAGTCATAGTTTTGTCATGTAAGCAAAGGAATGGCCTATATTCATTAAAAAGTTTGTCATTGCTGAACAATGATGGACATAAAATAGGGACAGAATAATATAGACAACACAGAATGTGAGTCATGATTATGTGAAACATAATTCACTGAGGATTACAGCAGTGATACCGAAATCTATAATTCAGATCACATCTTAAACAGGATGCTGCGGCCAAAGGCAAGATTCTGTATCATACAATATCCCATCTACAGTTAAAGAAAATAATTCTCATGCGGGGCAGGGTGCTCAACCATATGGGTGAAATCTTGAAATCTTTGAGGTATCACATTTATATAACATGAGACCTTCTGGATCTGGCACAGATTATTATTTTTTTTTAGTCAACTGGATTTTGAATGCAACTTACCCCATAAACGGTTACATTGATAATTAGGTTGTGTGATTATTGTAGATAAAATACTGTGGCAGAAACTACACATTCACATTTACTTAAAACTGACAATTCTGTCATTGTTTACTCACTCTCCTATCAATTAATATGAGTAGCTCATCAGTGTTGGGGGTAACGCATTACAAGTAACGCGAGTTACGTAATCAGATTACTTTTTTTCAAGTAACTAGTAAAGTAACACATTACTTTTTTAATTTACAAGAAAATATCTGAGTTACTTTTTCAAAAAAGTAACGCCAGTAACTTTGTTTTCCCACTTATTGACTGACTTTGACTCCTGTCCCCATATTGGGAGAAATCGGAAGTGCAGAGGAGTTGTGTGCGCTGTGTGAACATGATGTTAGTGTAGTTCTAGACTAAATGTGAATGTGCATTAAAGATGATGCGATTTCAATTTTTTCTTTCTCTTTGGAGTGTTACAAGCTCTTGGTGCATAAAGAAGATCTGTAAAGTTGCAAAGACTAAAGTCTCAAATCCAAAGAGATATTCTTTATAAAAGTTAAGAGTCAACCAATACAATGCCGGCTGTTCTGACTCACAGACTGTAAGTACGTTTTTTATATTTAAATAATTTGCCACTGACGATTCAAACGCAAGTTTCGAGCAGTGTAGAGTATCGTTTGTAGTTTGTTATTTCTCCGATCACAAATGCAGACATGGTTTTATGTTTACGCGGCGCGATGCAATGCAACGCGTAAAAAGACAGTAATTATAAAAAATTATAAGTTATGTCCCCACTGGATGCAACAAATGCCTCGTTTGTAATGGGTTTTA